TCGAGTGTGTCCCTGCCCTCTCTGAGACAGGTTTATAGCTGCCAGCATGGCCTGCGTCTGGCTATCGCCCCAAAAGAGGCACTGGGAACCCCACGATATCCTGTGAGGTTCAGGAATGAGAGCTGTCACAGCCTCCACCACGAGCATCACTTATCTCCCCGGGCCCATGCACCCCCCCGAAACCATGGGGATGCCTCAGCGTGCAGCCAAAATGAAAGGGAACTCGCATTTATCGTCCCTCTGAAATCCTCCCCAGCCAGCTGTTCACTCCCCTGGCTGGGCTGGGCTGGTGGCAGGCACTCTCCTCCCCCAGCCCCATCCTGATGAGCCGCGTTTCCGTTAGCTCAGCCATCCCGCTGGGTTTGAGGCAGTGCAGATCCCTGGAAACCTGGTTTCTCTCAGGGTTTGGCGAAGCAGCGGGTCTCTGGCAGTGCAAGTGCCCTGACATGTTCTCTCGCTCTCTCCCTCTGTCTCGGATGCCTCATCCTACAGGTAGAGCAGGTTAATAATTAACCTGCCTCAGCCCCTGCAGACCCCTGTGACTCCCAGCTGAATCACTAACCCTGGCAGCAGGAAGAGCTCAGCCTTGTAAGGCTGATGCCCCGGGGCTCCGAAAGCTGCTATTTAATGATAAAAGAAGCAAATGAGAAGCACCACTCTTCTCACACATCCTCCCCCTTCACTTTTGCTTAAGCTTCGCAGAAGCTCTAAACTGGGAAGTGTGGGAAGCAGGACAGAAGGCTGGTGGGAGCGAAAGGCGCTGGCTTTGTGTGCCAGCTGCCCCTAGCAGGGTCCAGAGGGTGCCTGGTTTTCAGGGATGTCACTTGCCCCAGTCCCAAACTGCCTGCCATGGCCAGAGGTTTGGCCACCCCATCTCCTCTGAGATTCCATCAGAAGAGCCCGGTGGTGATGGCTCCTCTCTAATCTGGCCCCGCAGTAGCTGGTCACCTCCTGCTGTCGGAGGTGTTTCTCCTGAGAAGACGGGAGTGGGAAAGGGACTAAGCCAAGGCTTTCTCCAGGCCACACAAGAAGCTTGTGGCTGAGCAGGGAGTTTGAATCCTGTCTGCCCCAGGCGAGGGTAACATCTAAACAACCGCTCCACCCTCCTTCCTTCCCTGAAGAGATCTCACACTCTTTTGAGCTCCCGAACAAATAATCTCTCAGTGACCTTTGTTTTGTCGGCTTGCAGGATTCATTTTCCAGGATCTGCTAACACGACAGCTCTCCCTGCTTCCCCAAGGGAACTATCCAGGAGCTATCCGGGACGTGGTCCCACCAAGGGCTGCCCAATCCTTTGGGATGGCGGCTGAGTCCTGCAGGGAACCATGCCCGTGCCACGTGCCCATCACTCTCATTCCCAAATAACGGGCAGGACCGTGAAGCAGTCCCAGTTCTGCTGTGCTTCCCACCCGTACAGTTCGGGACACGTTCCCCACGAGAGAGGAACTCACCCATGGCCACCTCACAAGCTGGGAGTAGGATCCGAGTCCTGCTCCCTCGTCAGGCTCGCACGAGGAAAAGCAAAGGTGTTTTGGGCTGGAAAGGGCCAACCTGGGAGCAGCTGAATGGAAAGGGACTGCGGGGTCCCTGCTTGTGAGGAGCAGCCGCTTGAATCTCTGCGGCAGCCCAAAGTACATGAGCAGGGCTGCTCAGAAGTGGGTCCTGCAACACACCAAGCCTTTGACAAGCGCCTCATCACCAGCCAAATGCACCTAGCCAGCAGCTGGAAACCCAAGAGATAATGTCCTGCTGCTGACCTCTGAAATTATGGAAAAGTCATAAAATCATGGAATGGCTTGGGAATTGATAAAGGAAGCAAAGACCAAAAGGAGATGTGTATGACCAGCAAAACTAAAGGGATATTCACAGAAGAAATGCTTTAAAAGGAGGCAAACCAAAGATTCCTAGTCTGTCTAGCTGTGAGCTTCTGCCTCAGTTTCCCCTTCCCCCATATCCACATAGCCTATTTGCCATGCAGCGGGGGGGGGATGCACGCACAGTACAGCGCCGAAACCCTGGCCCACCCAAAGGGACTGAGCAAACGTCCTGGGGTTCATCGTTTCACCTCTGCTTTCCCTGAGCAGTGCTGGGAAATGGGCCACATGGCCACAAGGCTGGTACGTGCCTGAGACAGACCTGCCCTTCCTGATTACCTTCCCAAGGCTTATTGCTAATACGCTGCCTGCTCCGTCTCATTCCAGCGTGGGAATGAATCATCCTACCTTTGAATGCTCGCTCGAATTTTCCCTTCCTTCGCAGGCTACCCAGAAACAAAAGAACCAACAGCAAAGGGGTGTGTGAGATATTCCCGCCATGCTGCCTGCTTGGCTCTCAGCACAACCTTCCCACCCCGTCACATGTTTCGGCCGATGGCAGGTCCCCTCAACACCTACGTGGGGGCCCTGGGAGCAGCTAGCTCTGGTGCTGGGAAGGGCACAAGGCTCGTCCCTTCCTGGGCTGCAGGTGTGACCTCCATCTCCTTGAGACAGACCTGCTGCTACCCCCAGTGCCAGACCCACCGTCCCTCTTAGGCACAGCGCTGTCCTTGGGGTTGGCGGGAATAATCTCTGGGTTGGTGGGAATAATCTCTGGGTTGGTGGGAATAACCTCTGGGAGCAGCGGGGAGGGGGGGTGGATGTGTTTGTACTTGCCTTTCCTGGAATATACTGCAGGATTTTGTCTGTGGTCGTATCTCTCTCCTGCCCTCCTTCTATACCAAAAAAGCTGGGCAGTTTTTTCTTGCCATTTTGTCTAGAGAGGGGAGAAAAAAAAACCAAAACACACATGCAAACGCAGATCTAGGCTGATGCATAGTGAATCCTGCCCAGAAAGAAGGAAGCCAGAAAGCTAAGTAAGCAATTTGTCACGGGCTTTCTAAACATCCCGGCCCAGCAAAGGGCTGATAAACAGCCTGGGAGAATTGTAATAGGCTTTGTGCTGCACTTGTTGGGGTTTCTTTGCTTTTTTACATGCTTTTGCATAACCAAACGATCGGCTAGGCTCATCTGTGTCTCCACATCAGCGGAGGAACCAGATGTTCCATTGCAAAACACAAAGACCAAATCCAGTCCTGACAACTATTCCACAGCCCCTGCAGTGGAGATGCATATGTACACGTGCACCAACATATATTCACAAAGAGGTTTTATTTCTATCTTTGTGGTTTTCCTCTCTCTTTCCTTCCACTCCCAGCAAAGCCCCCAGTTTCTCTTTGCACGCACACCATTAACGAGCAGTTACCAATGCTGTTTAAGAAGCACTGGGACTGCTTTGTTGGAACTTCCCAGCAGTTGCTCTCTCTTTCAACCAGATTGCAGCGTTTAGTTCAGCAGAAACCAGGCTTATCTCCACAGAGAGCCATGAGCGTGGGAAGCCGGGAGTCGGTGGGGACGGGAGGTGCTCTGGGGCTTGGCTGCTCCACCGCAGCTCCCTGATGTCAGCGCTCCAGGCTCCAAATTCCCCAACTGATCCCCTCTCTTTCACCCCACAGTAGCTCCACAGACTCCTACAGGTTCTCTCCCAATTTATGGCAGCATAGGGGACCGAGGCGACAGTTTCAGTGTCTCCTCGAGGAGAAACCCCTCAGCCTAGCAGAGTTCACGGGGTTTGCCTCAAAGCCCAGCACATACACTGAACCCAACATAGACGGGGTCGGCATGTTCACGAGGAATCACCCTGGTTCCCAACAGAGCTCCTTTCCAGCCCAGAGTGCTCAGGATGGGGAGGGCTCTGCTTCATGTGTGCGTAGATCCCGGCAGCAGCACCGGGACCACACCGATAGGAGAAAGGCAGCGCGCCGGGAAACTTGCTCCGCGCTCCCTGACAGGCTCTATTTTGGGACAGCCGTCCATCGCTGTGGTACCTGAGCGCTGCCCTGGCCAGCCCAGCCCCAAAGTCCCCAGAGGATTTCAGGGACATTTTCTGTTGTGTCTTCCTTCAGGGTTACAAACGCTGGGATGGGCAGAGCGTTGGGATTTGGGGCTTTCCCTCTAAAGGCAGAGGAGGGCGAATGTTGTTTTTTCACAACTCCAGGCATCGTGTATAGAAAAAATTGCAAGCGAAAACAAGGAGCGTCAGGCATTCTGTGCCTTGCCCTGCCCGTCCCGCAGAGGGGAAGTTTTAATTTTCAGAGTGAAATGAAAGAAATCACGTTTCTCCCGGGGGCAGCGTCCCTGGGATACTCCACCGGCAGAGCCCTAGAATTCCTTCCCAGGCGCTTGTGGCGAGCTGATGGCGTTTGGCACTGCCCAGCACGCTGCGAAACCGTGCAAAAACCCGATTCTGCTGAGCTCGTACATAACTGCTGGGTTTCCCGAGCGGGGCTCAGCCACCAGCCCGGTTCTGCGTGGTGCATCGCACGGGAGAAAGCCGGCGGGGAAAGCCAGCACCGCTGGAAAAGCAGCCCAAAGTGGGAAAAAAAACCCCAAACCCAAGGGTACTTACTCTTTTTTCAGCGAAGGCTTCCTTCGGAAAGAACCTCGGAGCGTCCCAGGGGCCTGAGGAACACAAGTTATGTTCCCCATGCCGGCAGCGACCGGAGGCGCCCGGGAGCGGCGCG